GTACACATCCTTAGGTTTGGCGTTAGGTATAAATTGGGGTTACTGTCGTGGTAGGCTACTATGTCTGGGGTCTGGACTCTGACGTGGGCATTGTCCCTCCAAGTCCCTAGGTTAGTGATCCCTTTTAGTCGGTAGATTTTGTCGCCGGGAACTATCGGTAGGGTGACTAGAAAGGCTACCTCGCGGTCCAGAGGATTAACATAGATGGGGACTGCAGCGCCCAGCGTGTACGCTAAGTGGGCTTGCATGGGGGTTACGGCGTCCCGTGTGGCTACGGCTAGAATGTTCTCAACTAACGATAGCGGCACGAGGTATGGCGGGATACGGCCCATGGCTAGGTTTTCGATCGAGGAACTGAGGTGACGTAGCATGTCCTCCATCAGTTGGGTGGTCAGCTGAGTATGGGCGTAGTCTAGTTGGAGGACGTCTAAGAGTTGGTTGACCGCAGCGGAGGTGCGTTTAATCGCAACCTCGTGTGTGTTAAGTACTAGCATGGTTCCTTTTAGGGATTTTCCCAAGGTTACCACGTCGTTCTGTTGTTGGTCAAGTCTGGTTTTGACATCCTCGAGCTCAGAGGCCATTTCTTGTTGGTGGCGTCTGAGGGAGGATAGGCTGATGGCGTTTACCGTGGACATCCCTAAACTAAAGAGGGTGCCCAGGGCGGACGCCGCGCCGAGGAGAGCCCCAATAAATCGTTTGGGTCTGGGGCGGGGGTCACTGAGCTCTGTCCTAGTGATCGTGAACTTCTCTAGTTGCGTCAGCATGTGTTGTATGTCTGCCTCAGCATGCTCCACGACCGTCTGGGTCCAGCGTGCACCTGCCCAATCTTTGAGTGTGACCTTCAAGGGCAGGTTCTTGCGGCAGACTTCACTAGGATTGAGTCTGACAAAGATTCGCTGTGTGTGGAGTCGGACGTCCGTGATGAGGAGCCCGGGTTGTTCCTTTAAAACGATCCCGGAGGCTGGTCCGGTCTCAATAATTTCTGGGGTGCCGAGGCCCAGTATGCAGGTCAGCACGAGAAGGAAAGTGGACCACATGTTCTGCAAGGCGTGAAACAACTGTTAGGGGTTAGACAGGGACAGAGAAAGAGAGAGTCGATTAGTGCAGCCGAGAAGAGTGTTAGTGGGTGCTGGACTAATCGTGTTTGAGGTCACGTGGTGTGTTCCTAACTGGGTTTTGAAGTGTGCCCTGCTTGTCCCATGGGGCTTTGTTTGTGTGGTTTGGTTTGGCTGTAACAGGCCCATCTGAGGGTGGGCTCTCTACCTTTTGTGACCTCGATTTGGTGCACTGCGGTTGAGAGTTTGTTTCCCACCCTGTATGGTCTTGACCAGCGGGGTCGCGGTTTCCGGCGTAGTCTGGTGGGGCCGGTTCCCACGTGTCCTGGGGAATGTGCCAAGGTGTAATACCATACCTGGTTTTTGACCTGGAGGTGGTCCTGCGGGTCGGTCCTGTATTGGTTTGTCCTCAGGAGCCGGGGGAGTTTCACATTCTCGTCACTCCGGTTTGGGGATACGTACCTTGGTGTTTCGGTCACCGTCCGGTCCGTCGTTTCTACCTGTTGTAGTGCCTGACGTGTGTTGTTTATACCTGTTTGTTTCGCGGTAGGTGCGTCATGGGCGTGTGCCAACATTACCCCCCTCATGCTTCGAGGCACCACGAGTACCAACGAAGTGAGTGTATCGGAAGCAGAATCTAACAGCCCATGGCGTATCGGCATTATTTCTTCATCACGGCCGGGGTTTCCGAGCGTCGTGTCGATCGTGACGTCGAAGGGGCGTTCTAGTGTGGGGTTGTCGTGTCGGAGGGAGGCTAAGTCCGACCTGTCGAGGTCGGGGGCCGTCCCCCCCCAGTCCGGGTAGTCCCGTTGGCCTAGGGTTAAGTCCTGGCGTGCGTCAGGGGGGTCGCCGTGGGGTTGTCCTCCATGTTTGGGGAGGTCCCCGGCGTTCCCATCGCGGGTCACTGGCCATTGTGTCGCAGCATATGCGGACGGCCCAGACTTGGGGCACCGTGAGTCGTGTGGTCCATGTAGCATGTTCAGATGTGGGCCAGGGGGGTCGTTGTAGGTTTGTCCGCTATGTTGAGGGCGGGCCCTTTCGTCCCAATGGCTGCAGTCTGAAACATGTCTCGTATGGACGTCAGGTGGGCCAGGGTCATGGGTCGGATAGTCATGTTGTCTGTGTCGCATGTCCATGTGTGTTCCCGGAGGGGCGTCGTGGGGGTCGCAGTGGTCGACGTGTCCAATGTTGGGTTGTGTATTGTTCCTATGACCTTGATTTTGGTCCTTTCCCGTCATGATACTTACCAGTTCGGCCACGCTCCTGCGTTCACAGTTGGACGATGGTTCGCCGCGGTCGGAGCGAGGGGAGTGTGGGCCGGAGGTAATGTCACGGCTGGTTCCGTTCGAAATAGCGGTCCTGATTTCCGCTGCGCGATCAAGATCCATGGTCGCGCTTGGAGTCATGCTCAGTCCCTGTTGGTGGTCCCTACTTACCTGTGGGATTTGTTGTAAGCGGGTCGCGGCGGATTTCCTAGTTTCCGCCAGTTGTCGTTCCAGGTCACTCACTGTGTTTTGGAGCCTTGCTTTCTGGGCTTCGGAGTCGCGCAAGGTTATCCTGGAGATTATGGCCAGTCGTCCTAGCCACTGGGTTAGGGTCTTACCTTGGAGTTTTGTCGTAGTAGCTTCGGATGCTAATCTGGAGGTAGCATCTTGTAAGTCAGAGAGTGAGCTGTGCTCAAGCGTGTCGTAGCCCCCTGGGAATAACTTCTCTGTGAGGTCTCGCAGAAAGTTATCCACTATGCCGTGTCCTTCTGAGACACCGTCGTGCCTGCTTGGTCGTGGCGAGTTTCCGCCATCGATTTCCATATTTGTGTGGGTGAGTGTATGCGAGTATGACTTGGAACGTGTGTGTACGACACGGTGGGAGGAGGGAAAGGAGGAAAGCAGTGCTATAGAGAGGGTAGTTTAGCTGTTGGTCGTGTGGTGGTGTAGACCTTGGTGTGTGTCAAAACCGTGACTACAGCGTCCTCTCCGTGTGGCGGTGTATGCGAGTAGGCGGCCTAGGGCAGGGGCCGGGCGTTAGTACTTCTTCACCTGTGTGTCAGCGGAGAGCGTTGGGGTTAGTGGCGTCGGCGCACGTAGGGGGACGCGGCGTTAGAGACGCAGCGTGACGGACGCGGCGTAAGACGCAGCGTGACGGACGCGGCTTAAGACGCAGCGTGACGGACGCGGCTTAAGACGCAGCGTGACGGGCGCGGCTTAAGGCGCAGCGTGATGGGCGCGGCTTAAGACGCAGCGCGATGGGCGCGGCTTAAGACGCAGCGTTAGAGACGCAGCGTGACGGACGCGGCGTAAGACGCAGCGCGATGGGCGCGGCTTAAGACGCGGTTTAAGACGCAGCGTTAGAGACGCAGCCTGACGGGCACGGCTTAAGACGCAGCGTGATGGGCGCGGCTTAAGACGCAGCGCGATGGGCGCGGCTTAAGACGCAGCGTTAGAGACGCAGCGTTAGAGGCGCGTTTGTGACGCACCTGCGTTTGTGACGCACCTGCGTTTGTGACGCACCTGCGCGATGGGCGCGGCTTAAGACGCAGCGTTAGAGACGCAGCGTGACGGACGCGGCGTAAGACGCAACGTGACGGACGCGGCTTAAGACGCAGCGCGATGGGCGCGGCTTAAGACGCAGCGCGATGGGCGCGGCTTAAGACGCAGCGTGATGGGCGCGGCTTAAGACGCAGCGCGATGGGCGCGGCTTAAGACGCAGCGTTAGAGGCGCGGCTTAAGACGCAGCGTTAGAGGCGCAGCGTGACGGACGCGGCGTAAGACGCAACGTGACGGACGCGGCTTAAGACGCAGCGCGACGGGCGCGGCTTAAGACGCAGCGTGATGGGCGCGGCTTAAGACGCAGCGCGATGGGCGCGGCTTAAGACGCAGCGCGATGGGCGCGGCTTAAGACGCAGCGCGATGGGCGCGGCTTAAGACGCAGCGTTAGAGACGCAGCGTTAGAGGCGCGTTTGTGACGCACCTGCGTTTGTGACGCACCTGCGTTTGTGACGCACCTGCGTTTGTGACGCACCTGCGTTCGTGGCGCGGCGTAGCTTTAGACGCAGCTCCAGTAAGCAGTAGCAAAAAGGCAGCAGGCTGAGGCAAGGTAATGCAGTTTTAGCGACAGTGAGGGTTAGAAATAGAGTATTAGTTTTGATGTAGTACAATCAAACATAGAGTTTGGCATAGTAGAGTGTTAGTTTCACCACTAGGTGGGAGTGCAGTATCTGTCAGATCACACGCCGATGTGGTTCAACAATAACGCGCATCATGCAGGAGCAGGAGTACAGAATAGGATTAGTTACCACAGCAATGTGTTATTATCAGTGGCAAGGAGGGGGCGGGGGTGTGTGGGAGTGCAGTGTTTGTTAAATCACCACACAGATGTGTTACTGTAAACTAGCAGTAGTGAGTGAGCAGGAATAAAGCATAGAATGCGTATCACCAGCGACATGCAGCAGAAGGAGAGCAGAGTTTACAGCATTAACCTTGGCTAATGCAGCAATGTAGCTTAACAATTATGTTTAAGAGGAGAAGCAGAAACAGAGCGTTAGCTTTTGTTATGTATAGCAGTAATGTGTTCTAATAAAACAATAATGACATGCAGAAGGGGGAAACACTCCCATTAACCCACGGCTGACATTGTACAAACAACAACAGGGAACACCTACCCGGCAGCTACTCGAGATCTGGCAGAACGAGTGAAGCCTGACAGCAGCTTACCTTCCTGTGCACTGGGGTGTCTATAAGTACTGTTGCTGATCGCTACTGAGCCAATACGGAAATGTGAGGGGAGGGGCATGTGTGCAGTAGTGTATGGTAGCCAGGAAGGGACAAACTACCTCCCGCTACATCTACCCCCGGGTTCTTTAAATTGGTGTCCCAACAATTTCAAACCTAATGGAAAGTTGCAGCCCTACTAGCCCTACTTTGCACGCTTGTTGGCAGGTTATTAGGGTTAGGATGCTGGCCGGCTGTCTGACGAGTAGAGCGTCTTGGTGGTGGTCCAAACCGTGAGCTGGGGGCAGGGCTGACCGTATGTGGGGCTGGTAGGAGTCCAACCCATGACCCGGGGGCGGAGCTGACCGCTAGTGGGGCTGGTGGCCGAACAGCAGGGTCGTCAGCCTGGACTGGATGCGCAAGTACATCTGGCTCTCGACTCACCACCCAGAGGCCATCTGCGGCCCACTCCCCGGTTTCGGACAGCTCGGGGCTCCGGTTACTTGGATCAGGCCTGTCAGCGAGAGGGGGGGGAAGACTGCAGGGTATCGGTTTAAACATATTCCTGTGTACATAGCGTACCTGTGCAGGCTGGTCTTCACGGGCAACTGCATACACAGATTGGCCAGGGCTTGGGGACCCTACCACAATGAATACATCAGGGGCCCAGGCATCCTGAATTTTACTCCGCCCTCGGTGAGAGTGGTCACGTAGGTACACCTTCTGTCCTGCGGGCACCACATCCTCCGTCGCCCGCTTGTCCGCCCTCTCTTTCCTCTGTGCTGCAGCTGCCCGCATCCGCTCACGGGCATTATCAGCTGCTACTTGCAATCTATGCCGATGCTCCTCTATCCAACGGCAGACTTCCCCTGTAACAGGCTCGTTGACCCTTCCCAGGAGAAAATCCACTGGAAGCTGAGGTTCCCGGCCAAACATGAGGAGGAAAGGTGAATGTCCAGTAGTTTGATGTGGGGTAGTGTTGTAGCTGAAAAGTACTTGTGGCAAGTACTCAGGCCAACGCAGCTTCTGTTCTGCAGACAGAGTACGGAGGAGATTGTGCAGAGTGCGATTAAAACGTTCGCATTGGCCATTCCCCTGCGGGTGATAAGGGGTGGTCCTAGATTTTTTTATTCCGTACATCTCACACAATTGGTGTATCAATGCATTTTCAAAGCTACGACCCTGGTCGGAGTGTAGTCTGGCAGGAACTCCATACTTATAAAACCACTCTTTGACCAATGTTTGTGCTACTGTAGTAGCCCTCTGGTCGCGGGTAGGGAAAACCTGGGTAAACTTAGAGAACACATCAGTCATTACCAACACAAGTTCTCGTCCATCCCGAGAGGGTTCTAATAATGAGAAGTCAATCGCTAAGATCTCGTTGGGTTTTGATGCCAATAAATGTCTCATAGGCGCTCATACCTGGGGCTGAGTGTCCCTTGCAAGAGAGCAGCGCTCGCACCTCTGACACCACTCCCTGATAGTCTCGCCCATGCCTGGCCAATAGCACCTTTGCCGAATGAGTTCTGTAGTTCGCTCTGCTCCTTGGTGGCCATGGAATGTATGGAGCTGTGTAAAAACTTCTGATCTGAGGGTTTCGGGTAGCACTAGTTGGAAGAACACTTCGCCCCCCTCAGGACGTTGACAGGCACGATGTAGTAGTTCATCCCGGAGCACTAGATTTTCCCAATCACGGAGTAACCTTCTGGCCGCAGGGTCAAGTGCCTCCCTCTCCATTCTTCCTGGGGCACACTGCCGCTGTATAAAGGCCAACACCGGGGCGATAGCTGGATCGGCCTGCTGCAACACCTTCACGTCATCTGTTGACCTCTCAGGGATGACTGACATAGCGCATTGAGTAGCCACACTGGTGCATTTTATGGCCAGTTGCACCTCGTTCGGAAGAGGAGTCCCTGGGCGTGCTGGAGTGGGCAGATCAGGAGGTTGGGTCTGGCGAGATAGCGCATCCGCATTTTGATTTGTTCTGCCAGGCCGGTATTTTACAGTGTAGTCAAAAACTGACAGCTCAGCCACCCAGCGCTGTTCTGTGGCTCCTAATTTAGCTGTGTTCAGGTAGCTGAGCGGGTTGTTATCAGTCCAGACCACGCACCTATGTCCAAGTAAATATTCCCTGAACCGTTCCGCCATTGCCCATTTCATAGCCAAAAACTCCAGCTTCATGGAACTGTAGTTTCGTTCTGCTGGATTCAGGCTGCGACTGGCATAGGCTATAGGCCGGATCCTCCCCTCCTCCTCTTGGGACAGGACAGCACCCAGACCCTCGTGACTGGCATCCACTTCTAAAGTGAAAGGAAGCTGAAAGTTAGCATAGGCCAGGACTGGTGCAGAGACTAACCTTCTTTTTAGTGCTTGGAAGCTCTCTTCGCACTGGGAAGTCCAGGCGTCAGCGAGGCGCTCTCTCCTGCCCCGGTAGTTTTTCTTCCCTGAGAGTTGTGCTACCAACTTGTGTAGGGGAGCAGCCAGTTTTGCGAAACCCTCCACAAATCGCCTGTAATAGCTGGCAAAACCAAGAAATGACCTTAATTCCGTTACCGTATCCGGCCTGACCCACTCTGCTACAGCTGCAGTCTTCTTTGGGTCAGTGGCAACCCCGGATGCCGACACAACATGTCCCAGGTAGCTAACTTGCTGCTGTAGGAATTGACATTTACTCAGTTTTATTTTCAGAGACTCTCTGCTGAACCGCCGGAGAACCAGGTCCAATCTGTTCACGTGTTCCTCTACTGTGGGTGAGAAAACGATCACATCATCCAGGTACAGGATCAATGAATAGCAATTTTGGTCCCCAAACATTCTCTCCATCAGCCTCTGAAATGTACTGGGGGCGTTACATAGCCCAAAAGGCATTCGCTGGAACTCAAAGAGGCCGAAGGGAGTGCAAAACGCTGTTTTCGGCTTGTCCTTTTCCGTGACTGCTACCTGGTGGTACCCGCTTGCCAAGTCAATTGTGGAAAACCACTTGGCCCCAGATAATGAATCTAAAGTCTCTTCGATTCGGGGCAAGGGAAAGGCATCTTTTCTGGTCTTGCCATTTAAGAGCCTGTAATCCACGCACAGTCGCAAGCTTCCGTCCTTTTTCCTAACCAGAACGATAGGGGAGGCATATGGGCTGCAACTTTCCTGTATGACCTGACTGTCCAACAGCTTTCGTATGTGGGCACGGACCTCGTCATAGTCTGATGGGGGTATGCGTCTATATCGCTGCCTGATTGGGACATCGTCATTAAGCGGTATGTCATGAGTAATGAGACTAGTGCAGCCTAAATCTAGGTCTGATGTGGCAAATACACCTTTATGCTGCAACAGGAGTGACTTTACCCTCTGCTGCTCTGGTCCAGCCAAATGAGACAAATCAAGGGCATTTATCTGTTCTGTAATTGAACTAGTTGTTGCCGCCTGGGAGGAGACTGTGACCGAATCACCAGCTGGCTGTCTCTTAGTAAGCGACACGCTGTCGGGGAGACTAACAACTTCGGCTTTGCTTATAATACCAATAGGCTGCCGAGGGTGTAACACTAGGTTGTCTGTCCCTACATTCACCACTGGGACATAAACTGTACCTTGGTGGATGTTGACCATAGCTGGTGAGATTAGCAGACCCTGTTGCAGAGACTGGCAATCATCCAAGGGCTCGAGTAACACTGTGCCTGAGGACCGAAAAAAATGAGACGAACAGGTAGTGGCAACCCACTTAATTTTCCCCCCTGGAACTATGACCGAGCGCCTACCTCTCACTTTAGCCACTCCCCTCTCTGGCTGGAGAGTCTGGGACTCCATTCGGTGACAGTGCTGTAACGCCCGCTGCCAGAGCGGGGGTGCAAGGCGTATCTCAGGGAGATCAAAAAGGTGTGACCCATGTTGGCTGAACAACTGGTAGTAACACTCCTTAATCACATTCATGCCTATCACACCCTTTACCCCATCTGAAGCTTGCTGTCTGAACGGCTCCTTGACCACCAAGATACCCCGCTGCGGGACTACCATACCAAATATAGTGACGTCTAACTCAACGTAACCAACATAGGGAATATCAATGCCATTGGCTGCAGTGAGCTCAAGCCAATTACAGGGCCTAGGGACAGTGTGGAAATGTTGATAAAAGAAGCCCTCATAAACAGTGGAGACCATAGACCCCGTATCCAACAAAAAGTTTGCTGTAACAGCACCAAGCTTGGCAGTTACCTTAGGACATGGGGCAATGAGATTTGGGGCCGCTTGCTCTTGTGCTGCCCTGTGGGTTGATGAGCCGGTGCCCTCCCCTCCTGACGTTTGGCTCCTCACATCAGGGGGTTGCAGTTTCCCACCTCCTGGGCTGCTGTCACTGCCCCCATATGTGGGGCTCTAGGCTGGGAGGGCACACGTTCATTATCACAATCTCTAGCAAAATGGCCAGGTTTTTGACAACGCAGGCAGATTAGAGTGTTTGGCCGAGCTGTTCTACCTGGGGGACGTGCAGAAGTCTGTAATGCTTGGAGGCCTAGAGCCAACTGGTTAAGCTGCTCTTGCTGTTTCTCAAACAGTTGCCGCAATTCCCTAAACTCCGAGCTGGCACTGGTAGAAGGTGCACGTGTGTTAGGGTAGTGCATTGAACTAATTGATGGTACTGAGTAGCTTCGGGGCCGAGGTTCCTCAGACCTTCCTTCCCGTTCCCACCTAATAGCATCTGCCCTCACCTCAATCAAGGTATGCGTGGGGCACTGCCTCACTAATCTCTTTAACTCCCTGCGAAGATGTGGATCCAACACATGCTCCACAAACTGATCGCGGAGGAGATTCGGGGCATCAGGCATAGACTGTGGGGCACTTCGCTCGACCTTCTCCATAAGGCAACACAATGCGTGTGAAAATTCCTGTAGCGATTCCCCTTCCTGCTGCCTCCTTGAGAAAAATGCTTGCTGTAATGAGACATACGATCTGCTACACCCATACAACTCTTGCAAAATTTTAAACATTTTCTCTGGGTCCTCTCTGTCTGCTCTAGGCCAGTACCTTATCTCATCCTTAGCCTCCCCCTCAAGATGGTCATACATAAAGTAAGCTTGGTCCACAGGCTGCAGGCATCTGGTTCTCAGAGTAGCCCTCATCTCTTCAACCCAGTCCTCCACAGGAATTCCAGTAATGCCCCTAAATGATGGACACTTTCTTTCTCTGGGAATGTATAACACACGTTCAGCTGGTGAGCCATTAGTGCGGTGTCGAGAGCTAGTAGTCCCAGAGTCTGTGGAAGTGGAGGCACCAGAGTCTGCGGGAGTTTCACGAACAGCAAGCCTCTCCTGGAGCCGCACATTTTCCGATTGGAGCTGTGCCAGCTGGTCCCTCAGCTCTTGCAGTTCCATAGTCATGGTTGAAGGGAGAGGCGGGCAGGTAGAGCACGTAGACACGTCTGAGAGGGGAGGACGATTGTTCTGGGGCAGCAGATCCCTCGAAGCGCCCACTGCTGTTTGCTTGGGTCTTTAAACAGTAATAAAACAAATGTCTTTATTTTTATTTTTTTTAACCTAGAGTCACTCACTCATCACCACAGCAATCCTTAGCCAGCAACGCCAGAATGTAACCGTACCTAGTTACTTTAGGTTCAGGATTGCAAATGGCAATGAAAATGAGGCAGAGGCAAGGATAAGAGTTTAATATTTATTTAGTACAAAAAGCTAGTTAAAAAGGGTATTTAAAAGCCAATTAGTTAGAGATAAAACTGCATTAATTAGGTAGGTCGGTCGCAGCCGCACACGGCAGAAGCACATAGACCGGAGCACCCACTGCAGCTCCGTGAACACTCACACACACACACACACGGGGAAACTAAGGAAACGTGAAAGTGAGGGCGTGCAACAATACCAAAACATACGAGGAGTGAGGGGGACTGACGTGAGACTCCGCCACCAAACCTCCACCAGGGACGACCACGCCCAGACCAGACCTTAGGGGAAGAAATGCAGATCTTAGGGGCAAATTGGTAACGGAGAACAAAACAAAAGTAAATAGCTATGCCTTAAACAAAATTATTCTAAGTAAATGATAAGACTAAATAAAAAGACAAAAACCAAATACTTAAATGAAAACCCAAACAAAACAGCAGTGGCCAACAGCATCTATGAAACAAAATGCTATTAGTTTCATGCCACATAACTACACAAACAAAAAGAGCACAACAGTGTATAATACCATGAGCACTATGTACAAAGTTAGTGAGGAGACATGGCCACGCACGACTTTTAACCAGTGGCCGTGGTAGCAGGCTGCTAAACAGCGTCTGCAACAAAGGAAGAAGAAACACTCCCATTAACCCACGGCTGACATTGTACAACAACAACAGGGAACACCTACCCGGCAGCTACTCGAGATCTGGCAGAACGAGTGAAGCCTGACAGCAGCTTACCTTCCTGTGCACTGGGGTGTCTATAAGTACTGTTGCTGATCGCTACTGAGCCAATACGGAAATGTGAGGGGAGGGGCATGTGTGCAGTAGTGTATGGTAGCCAGGAAGGGACAAACTACCTCCCGCTACACCTGTTTACTACCCTCTGCAATGTTTCATCATTAGGACAACAAACATATAAACAAGAGGGTAAATATTAGTCAACATATGTTTACTGCGAGTGTCAAGTGCATTATGTGTTGTTAATTATACCATACTGTATATGGTCGCGGAAACAGACCACTTTCTTTTGCTTCGTTTATTTATTTAAAGTGACAGGGAGAGTGTGAAAATAAACATTAACCTCAAAGGTATACAGATGCATTGTACCAGGTTACAGCTCATGAGATTACAGCGGACTGCCCTGCCCGACATGCCCATAGACTGTAAATATTAACCCTTGTATTATGTTGAAAAAAAATGACATTGATTATGTTGCGGGTCATTTTGACCCGTACTGTGTAAATGCACTCAAAACAGTCAAGAAAACAGGTTAAACCAATAACAACTTTATCTTAGGTTATATAAATATTTATAAAAGTGACATACAATACATTTTTAATTCCAACGCTATATTTAAGAAATATTTAGTCTAATCCTCTTGTCCTCCTCTCGGGTCAAAATGACAATTCTTTCCTCCTGTCATGCTTTCTCCTTCCTTTTTCTCATCCTGTTTTCCTTCTCTCTGTTCATCCTCATCTATTCCCTTCTTTTCTCTTCCTCCCTTCCTTCTTTCCTACCTTCCGTCCGTCCTCCCTTCCTCTTTCCTTGACCAAAGATTCGTCCTCTGAATCCTCCTTATCGTAGGAAAATTGACTATCTGGATCAGCAATAACATTGTCCTCTGTCTCTGAAAAATCCTCTGTTTCTGAAATCTCTTCCTCTACATCATTATCCCAGTTAAAAATCTGTGATAAAGCCTCCTCAGATGTCATCCTTCTGGAGCTCATTTTTGGTGAGTTTGTCTAAAGCCTAGCGCACATCGACAAAGTAACTGGAGACAACTAGTTTCAAGGCGGCTTTTGGCAACTGAGAGTAGATGATGGAGATGATCAGTTGCCGAAATCGGTCGATGTGAGCGCTCTTACAACTGGAGATAAACAGTCGATCTCCGGTTTCAGTCAGTTGCCCGTGTTCTACTTTTCGGCAACTAGTTGTCCTCAGATCCGGAGATATCACCCGATGTGCTCGCTCCAACAACATGTGTGTATTGCGTGTATTGCGCCCTCCACAGTTTATGTCAGAAAACACACTGTAGTTGAGGCCAGTTGCTGTCAACTATTATTCCTGTGATTCCCCAGACTGGCCTGTACTAGGAGTTGCCCGTTTACGCCAGATTGTCGCTGTGTGCAGGGCAGCAACTCAAAGGCGACGGATATAATCAGGTGCCAGTACGATGTACGCTAGGCAAAAGAGATGACATGAGAACAGTGACAAGGACAAGTGTGAGAAAGTTCCCTCTCTTCACACACCTGGCTCTGGATCTCAGAGGCAATCAAAGTACAATGTCAAAAAGACATGTTTTTTTTGGATCTGAACAACTATTTACCCACATTAAAGCGTCTGGGTCAAATTGACCCGCAACATCATCTTTGTATACAAACTCTGCACAGACATTCCACTACACATCAAAGTGTCCAGATTTTACACATCAGTTCATGACCCTAGATGAGGAAAAGTCACCAATTTCAGCAAGAAAAAGAAAGGATAACCAGTACTTTGATCAACTCAAAAACTGAAATGGGTCAAATTGACCTTAACATAATACAAGGGTTAACGGACGTAATCACGCCTATCTCAGCCGTTGAAACCAATGTGCCATCACATTTTCCTTCTATGGGCAGTTTCAACATGGCCGCGGGAGCTGGAAACATTCATTTGACGAGTGTCTTCAAAATTTCACAAAGACTAAACTAGACTGGTTCAAATAAATTCACTCCCCTCAGCATTGACACACATGTGGAACGTAGCTTTGAGCCAAGAGCCGACTTTTGGACCATCCTGTAAAGCTGTTTTCGATATGTAAGTCCAACTCATAGACTGTATGTATTAACGGACGTAGTCACGCCTATCTCCGCCGTTCTAACTAATGGGCCAAAAATTGGGCTTTCATGGAGTGATTCAAAATGGCCGCGGGGGCTGGAAAATGTGAAAAAACGCATCTGCGCATGGGACCCGCCCCCACTGGTCCAACCCCATTGGCCCGGGGTGGTATTGCAAGTAAGTCAGCGCACGTCATTTTGGACCCTTTTTGAGCCGGGACCCGCCCCCACTGGCTGCCCCCCCTCTCCGCCTGGGAACTGCTTCTGCACCGCACCTGTCCTCGTTCCACAACCGCCGCGTGGCCTTGGTCTTTGTCCTGGATCTATAGCCTGTCCGTCCGTGTGGAGCGGATCCCTCTCTCAATGTGGACCATGTGAATTTTCTCTCGCTGGGTTTTAGAGTCTTTCCTTGCCGATGCAGGGGGGTCTGTTGGGCAGTTATAGTGTCTGAATAAAAGGACTGTGGTGATGATCCAGGACACTTTAACATTCTACAACATTCATGGACATTGGTCAAACTCCTTATGGGCCAAAATAAACTCTATATATTTTGTGTTTGAACTGTTTGATTCTCTGATCTGTGTTGGCAATAAATAAAATTGAATTGAAATGAATAGAACTAAAGATGGAGTTTACATTTGGCCAAAATGCATAAAAGATCTAGTCTCAGTCACCTGCACACACACAAAGCACACAGCTCCTTCCCACACACCCTCTCTCTCTCACACACACACACACACACACACACACATACACGTTTTTGTTACCTGGTGGGTCCCTTTGACAGGGCCGTTCAGAATGGGACCCATAGACATAATCTTTTTTTACCAAGACTTTAAGTAATACAAAACAGTCAATAGAAACCAAACAACTATTTTAAAGGAATTTTATTTTAGATTTTGTTTTCGAATTGCAGTGATTCTATTTTTGACATAGAATTTAATGCCACTCCATGTCCGATGTCTAAGGTCATCTGGTGAGGCATTAATGCAGGCCAGGCAGTGAGACTTCCCAGGGACCTTTCCAGTCTGTATGAAAGGTGTCATGGTCTTCTCCACAGCCTTCACCTCAGATGCAGACCATGGCTTTCTTACACGTTCTAGGGAGAGAAATAAAAATATATTAGCAATATACACTCCCAGGGTGAGGACCAAGCAGCCTGGCTGTAATCCCCCACCTGGTACACTTACCAGAAGGGGCACTGCCACTACCATGGGGTGCATCTGGATGAATGGTTGAAGGTTCTCCGCTTGAAGTTTCTTTTAGCCCGTCCGTTTGTGAGAGGATCTCTACTGCTCTCCCTGTCGCACAGAAAATAAAAATACAAGTGGCCTTTAGGGGAAAAAAATCATACATATTTTAATAATATCAAGAATTACCTTCAGGCTCAATTTGTATCTGGTCGAGGCTCTTTCCTTCGAATTCCGTCACTCTTCCCTGCTCCATGGCCATCAACACTTTGCTGATTTTGGCCAGCTCCAGTGTCCCCTCTGGTAGTCTGTAATATTGCCTGTGGATGCGAATGTCATGGCCGAGGAAGTTGGCAAGTATGTCCATCTCATTCTCTTTCATATTGAGAACTGTAGACATAGTAGCTATGTGCTTTCTAAGTTTGGTTGAGGATAGCATCTCTGGATGCACCGCACCACATTCTTTGGCTACCTGGCGTAGGGAGTCTGATCCCCTGATGTGGGTGTCTGCGCCCGGGCGGGAAAAGAAGTATGGGTTATGGTCAGAGATGGAACAGGCCCTTCTGTTCTCCACCAGCACCTCCATCGAAGCAATCATTTCAGGAGTCAAAAGAACCGGCACTTTCCGACTTCTTTTCCCTTTAATTTCAATGCGTTGAAAATGCTGACACAGCTTTTTCTCAAGTTGGGACAGTCCCAGAGCAATGTCAGAATGGATCCCAGTCTTACTTCTTAAGGTAAAGGCTGTCAGTGGCATCTTTGAAACCTCACCTTCCCTTCTTCGATTGAAAATGATGACCTCACAAAGAGTCAAAACTGCCAGTTTAGACCAATGCTTAGACGTTGGCTCACTTATTAGGGTTTGCACATATTCAGGTCGACATACCTCAATATGTGCATGCATGGCTCTAACGTCCTCAGTCAGAGGGAGCAGGTCCGGAGTGTTCCACTTGGCTTGCCGGAGGGTCTGTAGGGCAGCAGAAGAAACACAGACGTCCCACCTCTTCTCAAAAAGCAGCCGGCTTCGTTGGAGGTTTTTAATAAATAGTTCATCAACACAATGCTCCATTTTTGAGTCACATTCAAGAATATCTGCTAGCTTTCTGAGGCTATGGCCGAGTTTGAGGGCCAAGGATGGAGTCTTGTATTGATTTGTTTCCTCATCATATCCAGCCACAGACCTGACTGCATCAATCACATGGTTAAAGTTGGAAGGAATAAAGAAATCCTTAATTGTTTTCAGTTTCCCTGCGGTTTTTGCTTCGTTAATTAACCTACCGACTTCTCTCATTTTCTGCCTAATGTAATCATGCTTTGTCTTATCATGCCCGTGTTTTAAGTACAGGTGCTCTCCGAGTCTCAGAATCCCCTTTTCTGCTTTGACAACACCCGTGACCTCATCCTGATGCATTGCCGAAATTAAAGACCACAGCTTTTTGCTGATGCCCTCCGGTACAGGCTGGGCTAGGGAGCAGAGGGACTGGACCCTACTTCTACCTGGTTTAGCCTGGGCATCTTTCTGTGAAAGCCGGCACCTGGCCACATGCCTCCACAGCGACTTTCGCTTAAGCAATGCCCCACAGTCTATACAGTGCAAAAACTCACTGGATTTAACTGGGCAATTTGGCTGTTTAGCTGGGACTAAAGTTCCAATGCCGGCCTTTAAAACCTCAAAATTGTGCTCACGGTTTCCACTATTCCTGATCAAATCAAACTGAAGTTTACGTGCTTTAGATTTCACAGGTAGAGCCAATGCTCTGGCTACGTCACTTTCATTTCCATGTTTTCTAGTCAAATGACGGGACATT